TTTTATAAAACATTGTGTGAGAACTATTGTAATATTCATAATTTGATCACTAGTTTCAAATGTCCATATAGTGCTATGTGAAGATCAAGTACTATGCAATCTTTGTTTTAGAATATGCTTGTTATGGAATACAGTTACAAGATAATTGTTTGTATGCTCATAATGTAAGTGAAATATGTTCATTGAACACACGGTATAGTGTACGTATTAAGTATTGAAATGATTTGTGAATCGTGATTTGATATATATTACTCATTTTAATTAATAATGCAGGATTTTAGATGCAAGACCTATAAGTGAGATCCAAGTGTTGCGCACAAACCCAAAAAAAGGATTAAAAAGACTTCCAATGTTCCACAGAAGAAGATGAAACCAATAGCAATTACAGAGAAATAATGAGAAGAAAAGAAAGTGAAAAATGTCTAATCCAAGCACATTTAAGAAAAGTGGAGAGCAAGGTAATTCAAGCAAACAGAAAGAGGGTGAGGATGTCATCCCAACAAAAAGAATTACAAGATCAACAAGAAGAAAGATGAAGTTTAGAAAAAATAAGAAAGAAGTTGATGCAAAAAAGACAAGAACACGAGAAGCAGAGTCATTAAAAGTGAAGAAGAAAAAGATGAAGAAGAAGAAAGCAAAACAAGAAGAAATTGAGGAGGACGAAGAGGAGATAGAGAAGGAAGCAGGGACGGAGCCAGGGCACTGGGCTGGACTGGGCCGGTACAAAGAATATTTTTAGAAAAAAATTTACACGAAATTTTTTACCTTAAAAATTAAGCCATTTTTTGAATTTGGGGTGGGCCGTGGCCTAGGTTGGCCCACCCCTAGCTCCGCCCATGGAAGGAAGAGAATGATAAATACCCCAACCGCGGACAAGAATGTCTCCGAGTACTATAACAGAAATAATGAAAACAATAAGTCTAGAACAAAAGGAAGAGGTAGTCGAGATTAGATTTGGCCCCTTACTGCACCTTGATATCAAGCAATTGCCAATGCACTTGGCATATTGGGTAGTTGAGAGTTTTGATAGCAGAAGTGTGTCTCTTGTTCTGCCGAACAACGAGAGATTGAGGATAAATGAAGATGCAGTGCACTTCACATTGGGTTTTCCAAAAGGAAACATTAATGTGAAGAATTTGATTGATAGTGAAGCTGAGAATACATCACACATGGTGGCTGATTGGATATTGCAATTCGAGACTGAAAATGGAGTTGTGAGGACTGCTCAAGTGAAGAAGGTTTTAGAAGAAAACAAAAAAGGTGGAGGACGGTTTAAAAAGAATTTTTCGGTTCTCCTGGTAACGTGTTTGATTGAAGGGAAGCAAAATTGCTTTGTCAATCAAAGCATTCTGAAGGCATTGGAGGATGATTCAATAATCAAGAATCTTAATTGGTGTGGATACACATTGGAAACATTAATTGAAGCAAAGGACTATTGGAGCAACAACAGAGAAAACACTTCTCGGGGCCTTTATTGTTTCTGATTGTAAGTTACAAATTCTATAATACTATTGCTCAATTGTATCATATTATTAATCAAATAATTATATGCATTATACAATTCTAACAACTTATAAAATATGTAGGTGTTCTGTGTTCAAAGGTAGAAAAGTGCAAAGAAGATTGCCATCTATTATTGAATGAACAACACAAAAGCTGAACAAAAGACAGAAGGAAGAAATTGAAAGCAGAGGTTTTAGATATGGATATGTAGATGAAGCTAATAAAGGGGAACTGACAGTTCCAAACATGATCACAAATGAACAAGAAGTTGAAAGGCAAATTGAGGGAAACAGCAATCAGCAGCCAAAGAAGGTAAGTACAGTAGTATGTAATTTTAAGAGAGAAATTTGGGTAAATATATAAATGAGAATTAGGATTTCTAGATATGAGTATTTAATACAAAATAATGAGTTTATGCAGGAACTTAAAGAAAAAGAAAGATAAAAATGTTACAAAACCATGGATAAAAATTTTAATGACTGAATAAATAAATGTAATAAACGTATATGCTTAGTTCATTTTGTAATAAGAGTGTAAAATATGTGACATGAAATTATTTTAGTCTAAACTCAATAATAAAATGAAGAATGCTCAATTACTATTCTAACATTAATAATTAAATAACTACAGGACATTATGAAGGAATTTGCTGCAGCCGCGAAGAATTTGGCAGAAAGCATGGCCAGTTTTGATGAAAAGTTTCAATAGGCTGCAAAGTTGTTACCTGATGATGAGAAGATGAAGGTTTTAATGGGAGAAGTCCATGGGCTTTTCAACACATATTCCCCAGAAAAGGAGAAAGAAAAAGAAATTGAAACTGAAGTATCATTGATTCTGGATGATGGATTTTGGACGGAAGAAGTGCTCAAAGCAGTTGAAGCTATTGAAATGGCTCAAAAGAAAAGAGTTGAGAGGCCAACTTTCAAGTTACTTTCATAGGAGTCAAATGAAATGGTGAATAGTTATGAAGATGATGTTGAGCATATTAATGAAGTATTTGAGCTGGCAGGCAATGATATTGAGCACGCAGAGGATGGTGACGGTGAGAAAATGAATAAAGATAATGAAAATGTTGAGGATGTTAATGAGGATGAAGAGGAAGCTGAAAAGGAAGGTGAAGAAGACAGAGACAGAATGTCTAGAAAGGGTAAGGAAGTTGCACAAGATCACATTGACCCAAAAGAGAAGAAAATGGAAAGAGGAAAAAGACAAACAGCCCTAACAGCTGCTTTGAAGTCCCCATACATGAAGAGGGTCATAGATGCAAAGACAACGCCTGGCAGTGAAGAAAGAAGACTTGCAGGTTTTGTGTTCAATGATCATTGTGACAAGAAGTAAGTACACAACAATTTTTACTTAATCATATCGTTTAATAGTATTGCACATTTAATATTTAAGTTTACTCACTCTGATCTAGTGATGCTTTTGAAACAGTGTTGTGTTGTTCAAGAATCATAACTTAACTCTTTCGAAAGCTCGGATGGAAACACTGAGGAGCAACTTAAAAGTTGATGTTGAAGTCATAGGTATATGGGCAATGATGCTTAACCATAATGAAAAGTTCAAAAGCCCTAAACCTAAAAGCAAGCTGCTTTTCTCTCGACAAAACCATGTGTAAGAAGTACATATTTATTTAGTAATACCTAAATGAAACTAATATGCTATAATATTTAATGGCAGCAAGTGCTAGATCAAAATCATGTGAGCGCTCCACAAACAAGGAACAAAAGGTTTGTTGCAACTATTGGTATGAAATTTCCCAAGGCAGAAGGCAATAAGTTGAGGACAACGAACCTATTCATATTCCCGGATGAACAGAATGGGTGCTACTACATGATGTGGTTTGACTTGAAGAACATGAAGTTCTACATTATTGATAGTAGCGATGGAGATATATGTCCTGGAGTGAAGTACTTGTTTCAACCGGCTTACCTGGTAAATGTTTTATATATTTCTTTTGATTATACTACATATGGTTAAATAATGTGATCAGTTAGTATATGAGTAATGTGCACTTGATAATTGAGTAAGATATATAGAAACTATGTGCAATAACACAAAAATATGTATAAGTCATTTTTTGAACTTTTTAACTACAGAGAAGTGCATTTGTGAAATTTCTTCGAGAACAAAAACACCCAAAGGCAGATCAGGTTGCGAAGCTGAAGGAACAAATGGTTAAAATGCATTGGAGAAATAACAAAAACAAAACCAATGAGGGAGTGTATTTGATGAGGCATATGGAGACATTTAATGGCGACACAACATGGGAATGTGGACCAGACAAAGAAAGTGTAAGTTCAAATTTTGTTAATATAGGTTTAAAACATAATAATTATGTGAAAACTTGAATATCTAAATTATAATGTGTGTACAAGAAAAAACCGTTTGAGATACTGAGGATTAAGTACTTGCATGCCATAGTCACATTTGAGAAGAATGAGATCAAGAAGGAGGTCATGGAACAAGTGAAAACACATAATGTGTTTATCTAAAAGATATGTAATGCTATTGTGACATTAATGATTGTGGGTGTTGAGGAACATATGGTTGTTTTTTAATTCATCAATCATAAGATGTTTTTTTATCATATCAATCTTAAGATGTTAAACACTATTAGTATTTGTTATATTATTCTTAATCTTGGTTGACAATAATCATGGTTGTAATATTGAACGATGACAGATGCATATGTGAAGTTTATATTAATGATCATTATTAGTAAGTTCTACGCTCATTTCATTTGTTAATTACTTATACACCAATTTAATGACTGACCCTTTAAAGTTAAAATCTTTCAGTATGAAAGTAGGTCAACTTATTTTCCTATTAAAAAAATAGTGGGGGAGTGTTTTTTTCCAAGTATTAGTAAGTTAGTTATAATGGTGTAAGTAAAGTGACTACGAATTGAAATAGCTAATTTTATGTAAATGTGTGTTTTTGGGAAAATACATATATATTTGTGTTCATTGCGAAATAGTAAATATACACATTAATGATGATTGTAATATTGAATGGTGACATCTGCATATATGAAGTTTATATTAATACCTATTACTAGTAACATGTACGCTCATTTTATTGGTTACTATACACAATTTGAGGACTGATCAATTGAACTTAAAAACATTAAGTTTGAAATTAGGTTTACTAATTTTCTTATTAAATACCGACTGGGGAAGTGCTTTTTCAAGCAATAGTAAGTTATTCATAATGGCACAAGTGAAGTGAGTAAGATCTGAAATATTGAATTTTATGTGAAAGTGTTTTTTTAAAGCAAAAGAGTTCATATTTAATTCGAAATAGTAAACACACAGTTTAATGAGTCTTGGATTCAAAATTCATTTCAAATTCAACAATTAAAAAACTAAATTCATTTCAATACTCATTTTGTTAACATGTGTTGCTCATTAAATTAGAAAGAAATGCTCAAACGAATATTATATCAGGGAAATGTATGATTCAATGAATGTAAAAATTACAACAAAAACATAGAGAGAGAAACACATGTAAAGTCTAAAAATGCACATAACAGAAACTAAAATGATGATAAAATTAAAGATAAAAGATCAAACAACATGTACTTCTTTGAATAATATAACAAGTATTTAACCAAATATAAAGCTCTTAAGAGTGTTTACAATTTTCAAGGGTCAATAATTGATGTACTTGCTGTAGTTGACTTTTTCCTTCCTCGCGCTTGATTTGATTTAATCTCAACAATACTTTTGCGTCGAACATTTCTTTCACCTTTTTTCCTCGAACCTTTGGGATTAGAAATTGTACCAACTCTAATTGAAGCTGAATCACTGTCTGAGAAGTAAACATGCACTGCCAACTTGTTCTTCAACATCATGTTTCAACTTTTTGAACGATTCTTCACGAAGCAGCCTCGCTGACGCATTAGAATCACTAGAACACAAAAGTTTGTGAAGTTTCCTTTGCATTTGCATTCTTCAAACAGAAGGCAAAACATTAGAAATGTTGGATATCATAAATGACTAACTTTGTTCAACTGACTTTGCTATTCGAGTCCAACGTTTTAAAACATAACAATCAAGAAGAACTTCAATGTAGTGGATATGATATATACGAAGACTATGGCAGCACAAAATACCAACTTCTTGAAATCTCTTACATGACGTGTGATATGAAACCCAATGTGAAAACTGATCAATATGAGCCATCCATACTAAATATCCAATAACAGAATCAACACAATGTCTAACCTCATGTTTCAAAGACATAGCATGAACAAACTCCTTCTCAAACAGCTTGTAAGCATTAATCGTGTAAATTCGAGAAGCTGCATGTAATATACCAAGATGTGAGATTGCTATCTCGGGGAAGCCATCCTAACAACGTTCTTGAACTGATCTCTCATGACTCCGCCATTCACTAACAGCTTCACAAAAGAAATGATAGAAATCACAAAGAGAGGACGTTGCATTCAACTTTCTAGACAGAGAATTATTCGTTGACTCGCTTCTTTGTGAGGATAAATTGCCAGCAGAAAAGTACTCTTATGAAAATGTTGGACACCATTTCTCCCTAATTCCATAAAGTTTCTTCAACCATGGATTATCAGAATAATTGAAAGTAGTCACCATCCTACAAAAATAAAAATAAAAAAGAACAATAGTATACTCATCAAAATGAAGCTATTACTCATTCGGAAACAATTGACCGTGTAAATAATAAATTAATAAAAAAAGAAAGAAGAAAATTTCAATAATAATGGATAATACCTGTTCCAATAATACTCAAACTCAAAATTGGGGGCACGATCATACGAAAAGCAATCGACAACTTGTTGGATCTGGCAGCGTCACGAAGGACTGACAATTTCCTCTTCTGGGATGTGGCACGAGCTAAAAGCTCTCCAGCGAAAGGAGCACGGCGGCCATCCACGGAGGAAAAAACAACTATAAAATTTAAAAGAAACGTAATAATAAGGACTAACAATAATGAAAAAAATAGAACTATGATACAATTAGGAAACTAGAGAAATAGTACCTTTTGATAGGTCAATTTGCATCAACTTATCCTCATTACAGCCGGCGCGCAGGGATTTCCACTTCGATCTTTGAAGAGTTATTTTTGGAGCAAGTATCTTTACCCTCTTCACAGTCATTCCTGCTACTTTCATCTTCCTCGTCGGAGTCTACTACTAACATGATCGAAATTTCTTTGCCTTGATTAGTATGGTGACATTCACGCTTTGAAGATCTCCTCAATTCGACTATCAAGTCGACCACAAAAAGGTTTTTAGAATCACATAGAGAGGACGTAGGCTTTGTTTGCAACCACTTGTGCTTAAATAAAAGTACTTTTGGGAAAAAAGTGATTAGTAGTAAAAGTTGGTAGTGTTTGGTAAAATAAGTGCTTTTTGTGTAATAGAAAAAGTAAAAAGTGGATTCTTCACGGAAGCCGAGAAAGAAAAAGTTGGTAGTGTTTGGTAAAATAGGTGTTTTTTTCTTTAAAACAAAGTTAAAAGGACTTTTTTTAATTGATTGCAAACAGACCCGTATTGTTACCTTGGGGTTTTAGGCCTAAGACACCATATGACCTGCACGAAGCGTCCAAAGTTATGATCTCAGGCTCTCAGCGGTTTGTTTCTCTGCGTCGGGTTGAAATGGGATGGTTAAAGTCTTTGTGAACCTAACAATACGCAAACACGACGAACACAAGATATATACATCGAAAACATCATTGAACTCACGTAGTACAAATATAAAAGGCCAAACAATATATGGAATTATGGACGTGGAGATATATAAGAAAAGAAAGAAAAAATACGTAGTAATAAACAGTAATAAATATTAAAAATACAAAAAGAGGATTACGACACTCACCATAGTCTTTGAGTCGCTCCTCTGACAAATCGCCACTTGAACCCAAGGAAGCTTTTTCAACAAAAAAAATATTTGCTCACCCTACCATGATCGTTTACATTGTCGGCACCATGAATCATAACCTCTCGCTTCTCTTTCACAACTAGAACAAGTCCCCGAATGACGCAAGTTGTAGGTAAAATCCAAGTCATCCGCCGCAAATTTAAGAGAGAATTTCACGGGCAGAACTCCAAGGGCTCGGAGCATCCTCTATGATTGAGGCCGGCATTATTTGAGTTGGAGACATCTTAACAAGTTCGAGGAATCCCCTAATTAAAGGAGAAAGAGGGAAACAAGTACCTATTTTGAAGCCATGAATCCAACCCAACCAGCAGGAGGATTCCGGGAAGCCATAGACCGATTTGATTTTCTTCATGTCTTTGTCCTTCATGGAAGATGGTCTGGAGAATCTGACGTCGAAAGCTTGTAGAGATGATGAACCTTTGGAATTCATAGAGGCTTCAGCGACCTTGGAAGCAACGGGAGACTTTCCCATTCTCGTTGAGATGCGGAAGAGGAAGTGTGCGTCAAGGGAGAAGAGAACTGGCGGATATGCTGCCCAAGAGGAAGTTAAAAAGTTGTGCAGGAGAACTGGCTGATTTTTGTCAAGGATCAGACTTGACTGGGGTGGGCAAAAATACCGAACCGGCATGATACCGAACCGGATCGGTATGGTACCGGACCGATAAACGGGGTTTGAAACGGATCTCAAAATTTTCTGTCCCGAACCGGACCGAACCGGTTCCAAACAATGCCATGACCGGTTCTCATAAAATGAGAACCGGTACCGGACCGAACCGGACCGAAGTATGGTTTATTAAACTTGTACTACTATAGTTTACCTAAAAGATATTAATTACCTCATCCGTCCCAAATTGATTTGCAAAACCAACATTTTTTTGTCAAAGTTAATGTTAAGTTCTCGATAATTATACAATTTTTAATAATTAAAATTTACATATTTAGAAACCACATTAAAATCTCTCTAAAGTTGCAAAATCCAAATTAAAATATACGAAGTGCGGAGTAGTTTTTTTTGAAAGGCTAAATTAGAATATAATTAAAAAGTAAAATTCTAATTAAGTGAATAAAAAGAAATTGTTTGACCAAAAAAGATTGACTTTGTAAATCAATTTGGAACAAAGGTAGTATGATATATGAAAATTGATAAATTGTGTGGATTTTTTGGAGGATGACTAAACTTTAATTTTTTCTTAAACACCTGAAAAAAGTGGCATTGTTTGGTATTAGTATGGCATGGTACCGTCCCGTTTGAAAATGGACCCTACCGAACGGGTTTAGGTCTAAGACCGAACCGTACCGAACCGTTTCAATAGTAATGGTACGGGTACGGGTTCGGCCAAATATTGGACCGGACCGGACCGTGCCCACCCCTAGACTTGACAAAACGGTTGTGCAAAGAGACACATCGTAGCTACTTTAAATGGAAGAATTCTTGGATGTAAAAGACAATTCCTACGATCGAATTACACTCTAAATCATAACTACATTCATTGATTCACTCTTGTTTCTTAAGATTTATGTGATATTTTGCATGAATGCATGATCACCCATCGATTTGTTATTTCCGAATATGCGAATCATAGTATAAACAAATGTGTTTCTTTTTTAATTTTTTGTTTATAAAGGAGGTTCAAATTCGTAATGGAAAGTGGGATGAAATATCTAACTCTCAGTCTCAGGACAAAGAGTACTTATTTTATAAACATTTATCAAAATAATATGAAAATGTTTACGAATTAACAAACCAGCCTCTCCCCATATATATGTGTAGCAAAGGTTAAGCTTTAAAAAGTAGTAAAATGCCTAAAAAAAACCTTAGCAAATGACATCATTCAGATTAGTTTCCCAACTTTTTGTAAATCTTTGAAACTCTGGTCGAAAATATGTAGGCCGAAAAACATGGCATGAAAAAAGTAGCTTGGCAAAAGTGCAAAGAGAGCAAACGTCGATCTTATTTTCCATATGATTCCCATATATAATCTCTTACCACGATGTCATCTTCTCACTGCATTTTAATGACAATTATTTCCATATCAAATTTTTCATAATTTCGAAGGTCAAAGTTTTAGCTAATCTTTCAATCCAATATTTAATGTGTTTCATATTTAAGTCAATTTCTTGCTTCTCCCATTGATATCCACATGAGTGCAGCTCACAAGATACTTAGATATCTTAAAAGCTCTCCAGGTAAAGGTTTATTTTATCCTTCTGTTTCTGATTTTTCTTTACAAGGTTATACTGATTCTGATTGGGTTGCTTGTATTGATACTGGAAAAAGTGTTTTTGGATATGCTTTTTACCTTGGTAGTTCTTTAATTTCCAGGAAATCTAATAAACAACAGGTAGTCAATAGGTCATCCACTGAGGCAGAATATAGGGCATGCACAAATGTTGTTTGTGAGGTTCAGTGGTTATACTAAATTCTTAATGATTTACATAATCAATTTACTTTACCTATGATTATATATACTGATAGTAAATCAACTTATCATCTTGCTCACAATCCTATTCAACATCAAAGAACTAAACATATTGAGTTAGATTGTCACAGAGATAAAATTCATCTGGTTTAATTCAATTGATTCATATTAAAAACAATTTTCAACTTGCAGATATATTATTGTATATACCAAGGCTCTTGGAAATCCTTTGTTCAAACAGTTTGCAGTCAAGATCAACATGCAAGACATACATGCTCCTCTTGAGGGGTATCAAGACTAAAGCTGGACTAGGATTTATTTTATTATGTATTGGGCCTTACTACTCGGCCCTATCCATTTTAGTTGTAATCAGTATATATGTAATAGGTCCATTCTATTTTTAGTAACCTAGCATTCCATTCTGCAGACATTCGTTCATAGTGCTCAAACTCTCTGTAGCTTGAATTCAATCATCTTCTTCAATCAATCCAAATTCATGAGTTCAATCATTAACATTGAAGTATCATGAAGTGGAAATTACCGAATTAAAGAGAGGAGGTATCACAGAAGAGTTAATAAGTTGTTCTTCAGGGATGAAATATCATTCTTTTTATTAATAAATTGTCATTAATTCATGAATGATAAAACAGAGAAATGGTTTAATTTTATCCGTCAATCTCATATCATCACTTATACATTCTACCCATATACTCCACTTCGTATCAATTATGGCAAATGGTGAAAACTAATTAGGATCGAAATTAGGTTCTTTTAAGGATCAGAATCCGTTGAAACTGATTTTTAAAAAATAAAAGGACACATTAATAATGTAAAAAGTAAAGCAAAAGTTGTAGTCTTAGGATCTTGATTGGAGTTTATTACTCCGTATTTTATATAGCCCACTTGTCCATTGACACATAATTTGATTTCTATGGGGTAAGGGGGGTAATAGTAATACATCAGGGACAAGATTTAAGGTCCTCTAAGTGGTAACAATATGTAATTTCTTGATAATATATTCCTTCCAAAATAACCTGATTATGTGATTTATCTTCCCTCTATACGCCTTATAAATAGAATTGACAGTGGATGAAACCATTGTATTGATCATTTATGGCAAATGGGTGACAATCAATTGATGGCCAAAAAAATCAGCGAGGAATGAATTGAGTTAGTGAAATTAACCTGAAACGTATACTCAATTTATTCTAATACACCATATTTGATCGTATATGTTCTTTTGTTTAAAGCAGTTTTTATCTTATTGTAAAGATTTTGTATGTATTATTCTCAAATTCAAAAGATGAGCAGAAGGACCACAAATGGTACGGTGAATTTAGAAACATTAGTCGATGGACAAAGTGAAAGACGTAGATCAAATGTGAAATTGGAATAAAATCATAGGACCAAAATGAAAGTATGAATATGAATTTTAGAACTCGATAAGATCTTTCCAACGCGATATCCTTTATCTGAACTCGATAACATCTTTCCAACGTGATATCCTTTATCTGAACTTCAACGTAAGACATAACGATCCTTTATGCTAGTCGAAAATATTTGAAGCTTGAAACATAGGTGTGCATCGCACGATTCATCTGTAGGGGTGTGTGGATTGCCTTCTAAATATGGTGGAAGAAATAAATATATCCTTAAACTTTTTGTGTGAGAGCAAAACCATGTCATTCAACTTATTTAGAGCATCTACATTAATGCTCTTCAAATAAACAGATTTTTTATGAGTCGCCACTGCCATATCATCTATATCATCAAGTTGATCTCCAAATAAACTCAACAACGAGGATATCCTTAGGAACAATTAAATGTTCTTCGGGATTTCTTAATAGTATCAAATGTTTTGATGTGTCGAGTTGATGAAAACGGTTAGCAACACAAGAGGGGGGGTGAATTGTGTGTGTGTGGAACCGTGTCAGTTTTTCGCCGAGTTCTAGTGTGGGATAAAGGGAATTGCAAAACAGTAAAGTGCACAAGAATTTAACGAGGAAAAATCCCTTGGCTCAAAGGGATTAAAAAACCTCGACCTCCCTCGGAGGAATTTTAAACAACTTCACTAAACAAGCCTTTGAAAGAGTTACAAGAGTGATTCTCCTAATCTACCCTTGAGCCTCCCCAACTCTATCCTCTCTAGGAAGAGTTATGCATCTCTACCTTGCGGGTAGAGAGCCTCTCAGCTTTGTCACAAAGCTCTCACACACACTTAACCCGAGGCAGCTACTCTAGCCAATTAAGCCTCAATAATCCAAGTACAATATGAAAGGGAAAAGAGAAACTCTATCTAGAACTCCGAGCGGGCAGTTTCAGGCGCCAAGGACTTGATCCTTTTCTTGAATGATTCTTCTAAGTATTTTTCTCGGTTCAGCACACTTTATTTGTCTTTGGCTGCTTCGTTTATATAGGCTGTCTTGGCAGACCGTTTTAGCACCCTTCCTTGAATAGTTGATCTTCTAATTTTGGGACTTGCCTTGATATTTTGAATTGCTTTCCTTTCATAATATTTCCCATATCCGAGCTCAATATATAAGGCAGTCAAATTAAAATATCCAACATTTAATATTCATATATTCAAGGTAGCAACATAGTCACAAATTGCCCATTCAAATCACGTGTAAGTATTTTGAATTAATTATCAAAGAGAGCAAGCTTTGGTCAACTTTCAAAAAGGTAGGAAATCATTCCATATAAGAAGGGATGCAACGGCCAGAACATAGATTTCTAACAAGTCATGCACTAAAAATATATTCTTGCCTTATTATAATAATCTTGACTAAGTAAGTGGTCTTTTTGAATTGGGCTCACATAAAGAAAGTATATTAGCTAGTAACCAAATAAATCATGCACCTAAATACGAAAGATAATTAAGTAGGTGCAAATATATTAATTCAAGCCAACTATCTTTATATTACAAGCAAGTCAAGATTACTTTCCATAAAGTAAAAAGCACAATTACTTTTTATAAAGTTAAAAGCACAATTACTTAAGTGGGTGTCAATTTGCTCATGCATGAAAAGCTACATTAAGTACACACATATTAATCCAATTAAATCACAAATTATATCACGTAAGCACATGAACTAGTTTTGTCCTTTGTCGCTTAAAGAACTGTGAGCGGTTCTGTCCCTTGTTCCACCTGCATGGTTAGTCATCAACAAAACCACATACTCAACAAATTCCCCCTTTTTGTTGATGACAAACATTAGGTGCCATAGTGAAGGTGTCCCTGCAGATTAGTAACAATTATAGTAGAACAACAACGCACAAAGGACACCCAGATTTTTCCCCCTTTTGTCATTCAACAAAAGGAACCAAAATAATGCCCAAATTAAAATATCGATT